GTCATTGTGCCAACACTGTAAGGAACAGGTGAAGTATATGAACAGTTTGGTCAGAGGAGAGACAAGTAGTGTCCTCTTACAGTTAAAGACAGTAGCTGGGGCTCCTGGATTGACCATGGAAAGAAAAAACATATTGTAGAGTTGAATATGAATTGTTGAATTAATCTGGGCCTCGACCGATCCGGCATGGAATTTGCACTGATGATTCGCATGTTTAAATTTGGCATGTTTTTACACCGGATGCCCTTCCTGGCGCAACCCTCTCTATTTATCCGGGCTTGAGACCGGCACAGAAGTCACTGGCTTGCAGCCCCTTTGGCTAGATTGCAACCCCCTGTGGCTAGATTTGTGGTTTTAAAACATAGTGAGAACAATTTCATAATAATGAGCTGAATTCTAAAAATGTATTTGATTATTTTACAATTTCATGGTCATATTATAAAATTGTATTTATTCAAATATTTAGTTATTTCATAATGTCTTATTTATTTCATTATGAACACACTGGACCTCCATATGCACCAAACTGACGACATTACACATACAGGAAAAAGGCTTGTCATGTTTCATTAATACTGTAATGATGCCTGGAGTTGTTTGTTTTACCAGACACGATACGGTTAATGAAGACAACCATCGCTCACAGGAGCTGCTTCACTTTAACAGCAGCACTTTTGGAGAGCTTGTTGTCCACAGAGGGAAAAGTTTAGGTGAGAGCTGTGTGTGAGATGATGTCTCTGTAGCTTCTCCTACATCTGCATAGCTTCTTCTGTACATCTGTGTCTTGTGTTCATGTTTCTGACAGGTGTAAGCGAGAGGCTCGGCCGCAATGTTTATTATGGTTTTGAGGCTAACGCAGGAGACTTTGCTGTGATCTACGAGTGGTCGCTGCGCTGGAACAAGAGTATAGGCAAGTTCTTCACCAGCCAGGAGAAAGCAAAGATCGAGAACTGTAAAAAGCAGGCAAGTAGATCAGAGACGGTTATTAAGAACTCAGATGTTTGATAATATATTCCACTCTTTTTAATATCAGGGAAATTTGGTTTAATACTTCTGAAAGCCATTCCCACTATACTTGTTAAAAGCTACCATATGCTGTTACTTGCACTTTTATTGCTGTGTAGATTCATGGGGCAGAAAATGAGTTCAACTCGCTCCTGAGGCTGGATCACCCAAACCTGGTGCACTACATGGCGCTGAGCTCCACTGAGAAGGAGGACTCCCTGGTGGTTAACCTGCTGGTGGAGCATGTTTCTGGGATCAACTTGAAACAAAGTCTGATCAACAACATGCCAGTTCCTTTGGATAGACTGTGCCATTACACGGCCCAGCTGCTGGCCGCTCTTGACTACCTTCACTCCAACTCTGTGGTCCACAAACAGCTGGGGGCTTCCAGCATGCTGGTGGACTCCGAGGGCAATGTCCGACTGACCGATTACAGCTTATCAAAGAGGTTTGCTGATATCTGCAAAGAAGACATTTTTGAGCAAGCCCACGTGCGTTTCTCGGAGGACACGGTGATGCCGACAAAAACGGGCAAGAAAGGGGACGTGTGGAACATGGGGCTGTTGCTGCTGGCTCTGAGTCAGGGGAAAGAAGTGAAGGAGTACCCAGTAACGGTGCCTGCCAGCCTGCCTGCTGACTTCCAGGACTTCCTCCTCAAGTATGTATAGATGGATACCTGCCAGACCCATGAATTGATTATTCCAATGAGTAGGTTTTTATACCTTACAGAAATGATTGAAACAAGTGAATGGCTCAAAGGCAGGAAAAACCTGTTCACAGTTCAAACACCCTTTAGGTCATAGTGTTTTATAGGCTGTCTGTCTGCTTGGAAAACTTGCAACAGTGCAGTAAAATGGTTTTCTGAGGAGGTTTGCATGTAGTGCAGGTAGGTAAAATTCCAAAAAATCACATTGTTAGATTTTTAAATAATTTATTTCCATTTTATTGCATGAAATAAGTATTTGATACAATAGAAAAATAGAACTTAATATTTGGTACCAAAACCTTTTGTTTACAATTACAGAGGTCAGATGTTTCCTGTAGTTCTTGACCAGGTTTGCACACACTGCAGCACTCCTCCATACAGGTCTTCACAAGATCTTTCAGGTTTTGGGGCTGTCGCTGGGCAACACAGAGTTTTAGCTCCCTCCATAGATTTTCTATTGGGTTTAGGTCTGGAGACTAGCTAGGCCACTCCAGGACCTTGAAATGCTTCTTACAGAGCCACTCCTTAGTTGCCCTGGCTGTGGGTTTGGGGTCATTGTCATACTGGAAGGCCCAGCCATGACCCATCTTCAATGCTCTTACTGAGGGAAGGAGGTTGTTGCCCAAAATCTCGCGATACATGGCCCCATCCATCTTCTCCTCAATATGGTGCTGTCGTCCTGTCCCCTTTGCAGAAAAGCACCCCCAAAGCATGATGTTTCCACCCTTATGCTTCATGGTTTGGATGGTGTTCTTGGGATTGTACTCATCCTTCTTTTTCCTCCAAACATGGCGAGTGGAGTTTATACCAAAAAGTTCTGTTTTGGTCTCATCAGACCACATGACCTTCTCCCATGCCTCCTCTGGATCATCCAGATGGTCTTTGG